TCCTCAAGATAGAAGAAACCCCAAAGGCCATCTAGTCCAACCCTGTGCCATGCATATTGCATACACAATCCCAAAGCACTCCTGACAAAAGGCCATCCAGTCTCTGTTGGAAATCTCCAAAGAAGGAGACTCCACCACCCTTTGAGTGAGCGTCTTCCACTTTTGAACAGCTCTTACCTCCCAAAGTTTAGGTAGAACCTCTTTCCCTGGAGTTTCAATCCGTTGCTCCTTGTCCTAGTCTCTGGAGCAGCAGAATGCAAGCTTGCTAGAACATTCCCTTTACTTCTTTAAAACTTTGGAACAAATCCAGAATATCTTTCACCTGCAGCACCTGGTCTTTCTTGACAGTGTCCCATCCAAGAAGTTAATTCCATTTAATTCCATGGGATTTGTAGAAGTGCATCCTAATGGATGCTGAAAAGGTGGTGATGCCTTCAAAAGCAAGGGCCACTAGGTGTCACTGCTTGCCACCCAAAATCCCATTCAATTGGAAGTGCAGTTAACTTCTTTCTCTGTCCTTCATTCTTCTTCTCCAGGGCAGACTGATGGGCATCTTTTGTTTCCATGTAATGTGATGATCTCACTATTAAGTTTTTCCTTCTTTCCCCCTCTCCCCTTTTCTTTCTTTCTCTTTCTCTTTCTCTTTCCCTTTCCCTTTCCTTTCTTTCTTTCTTTCTTTTTCATGCACATGCTGAATTCACTAACTTTTGAAATATTTAAAAGCTTTTCCAAAGCAGACTGAAGGAAGAAGGAGAGATTCTCCTCCACTGTCCATTTGCTTTCCATTCTCTCTTTTTTAAATGATTATGATTTGTCTAAGGCTGATGGGACTTGCAATCCAGCAAGATCTGGAGAGCCATATGATTCCTTTCCTTGTTCTCTAATGGGAAGGTGCTCTACTGGCTGCAACATTTTAGTTTGTCTTTCCTTCCCTTTTCCAGCCTTAACATATTCTTTTTCAACACGGTGTAGATCTGAGTTCCTTGTTTCTGAACAATTATTTCCACTGTTTTGGTCTGCCTCCAGAAGGTTATTATGAAGAAGAACATACAAGATAGGCAAGGCCTCAGCAGTTTGCTTTTGTCTGAGCCTACTGGGAAGGGCAAGACTCAGCCTCCTCCTTTCCATCCCTTGCATGAGTGAATTGAGGGCAAAATACATTTGCACTTTGAATTTCGTTTGCAGCGATTGAAGTAAGCTGAAGACAAAGGGCAAAGGTGGGAGGAGGAGAGAGAAACTGGGACTTTATAAAAGCAGCTGAAAAAGTGGGATGCCAGGGATAAATTGGAACTGTACCTGCCAAGTCAGGACAGTTGGAGGGTCTATTATTTGCATTCCCTGTTTGGGTTTATTTGTGTCCTTGTACAGGATGAGTTTTCCTTATCCGGAATTCCAAAATCCAAAATGCTCCAAAATCCAAAACTTCTTTTCCATGGGTAGCTGAGACAATGACACCTTTGCTTCCTGATGGTTCAGTGTGCGCAAACTTTGTTTCAAGCACACAGGTATTTGAAATGTTGTCTAAAATTGCCTTCAGGCTATGTGTATAAGGTACATTGTTGTTGTTGTCGTTGTTGTACGCCTTCAAGTCGTTGCCGACTTATGGAGACACTAAGGCAAGCCTCTCACTTGGGTTTCTTGGCACATTTCTTCAGAATGCCATTTCCATCCTCTGAGGCTGAGAGAGTGTGACTTGCCCAAGGTCACCCAGTGGGTTTCCATGGCCAAGCCAGGATTTGAACCCTGTTCTCCGGAGTCTTAGTCCAACACTCAAACCACTGCACCATGCTGGCTCCCTATAAGGTGTATAGGAAACAATGGAAACATAAATTAATTTTGCGTTTCGACTTGGATTCCATCTCCAAGACATCTCATTCTGTCTATGTAAATATTGCAAAAAAAAATAATTTTTTTTTTGGGTGGGGGAATTCTGAAATCCATAAAATACTTCTGATCCCAAGAGAGAATCAATATGTACTTTCTACAACGAACTGGATGGGTTGCTGCTTTATGTGTCAGCCAGATCCGGACTTAAGCAATGCAAAATGTCACCACCGCCTGTGTGCAAAATGAATAAAACAACAACTTGGAGGTCTTTAAAAGCAAAAGAGGACCCTAAGGCGTGCGCTGGCTGAACTTTCCCCCATACTGTCCCCCAGGTGTGTGTTCATAGTACAAGAGAGTTGATAGACGGAGGCATTTCTAGCAAAGTCCCTGTGAAACCTCCTCCCCCACTTTGCAGACATAATGGAGGCATTTTCCCTGATGGAAAGTGTCCGGGATTAGGGCCTGGTTTTGAAGATCCAAAGCTAACATTCCTTCCAAAGTTGTCTCTCAAAGAGGCTTTTAACTATTAATTGCCTGGAAACAAAAGCTAGGTCAAGCATCTTGAGATGGAGAGAACCCAAAAGCTGTATAGGAGTATGTGTGTGTGTATGTGTGTATATATATGTGTGTGTGTGTATATATATATATATATATATATATATATATATATATATACAGCCTTTGGGTTCTCTCCATCTCGAGATGCTTGACCTAGCTTTTGTATTTTAATATATAGCTTTTGTATTGTTTAATATATATTAAAAATAGTGCTGTGCCTGCAGTAGCGTGGAAACCAGGTGCTGGTGGTATGATATTCAGGGAAATGTTGCATTAAAAACTCATTTAAAAAAAATAATAACAATTTAAGTAAGCAAAATCCACACAATGAAACGTAAAAGCACCCAATGAGATATTTTAAATGGAAGACAGATGAATTAAATTGAATCAACCAAAAAGTTATTTTGTATTGTGCAAACTCAGTTTGAATTAACAGGAAGCTTGGTTTTGTGATCTGAATTATTCCTAATTGGACTATTTGAATGTTTTTAACATCCTTTTGCAAACTATCTGGAGTTTATAGAAAGGAGGTGAGATGGAACAAGGAGGAAGGGAAAGTAGGCAATGAATTGAATTGTTTTTTCTCTGGTTGAAAAAGCACTTCTTTTGGTTTCGAACTTTGCAGTCTTCTTGAAATACTTTGGTTTGACCTCATGGAAGAGGCCAGCTATGAACCAGCTCTCTCTGATTCAAAACTGTGTGTGTGTATATCTGTATATGTGTGTGTATGTATGCTCTAGAAGGTTCTAGCATATTCCAGTTTCAACTGGGAAAATGTGGGTTGTGATGAATGATGCCTATTGGCTAGCGCCTGTTATACCACCAACGCCCCTTTCCTACTTCTTACTTCCTGAAGTAGTTTTGCAACTATTTTGACTTTCTTTAAACTCTCTGCTCTATCTAGATTCACACCTTAGGGTCCTCTTTAGCTTTTAAAGACCTCTGGGTTGTTGTTTTATTCTAGACTCTATAAGGACACGGACTAGAGAGATGCTCCAGGATATCAATGGGAAATCCCTGGCTCTCAGACCTAATCTGGTCTACCAAGTCCCTAGTTTGTCCCATGCTCCTTCTCCATTCATCTACCCCCTACCCAAAGGCCCGCTCTTTCAGAAGAGAAACAGGACAGAAAACCAAGTAACCCATGGTAGTTTCTTAACTGCTGCCAAGTCAGCTTTGACTTATGGTGATCCTATGAATGTTGTTAACTGCCCTCGAGTCAATCTCGACTCATGGCGGCCCTATGGATGAGACATCCCCAAGACCCTCTGTCCTCCCCTGCTCTGCTTAAATCCTGCAAGCCCATAATAAATCCCCATAGGGACCTCCTTCATAGAGTCCCTCCATCTGGCAGCATGTGGCCTTCCTCTCTTCCTACTTCCCTCCACCTTCCCCAGCATTATTGACTTTTTCAATAAGTCTTCACTTCTCATGATGTGTCCGAAGTACGACAGTCTCAGTTTGGTCATCTTGGCTTCTTCTAGGGAGGTTTCCGGCTTGATCTGCTCTAGGACCCACTTGTTTGTCCTATGGTCCTATGAATGAGAGACCTCCAAGTCACCCGATCATTAACAGCCCTGCAGATTCTTGCAGATTCAGGAGTGTGGCTTCATTGATCAAGTCCATCCATGAAGAATGTGGTCTTCCTCTTTTCCTACTGCCTTCCACCTTACCGAGCCTTATTGTATTTTCTAGAAAGTCATGTCTTCTCATATTATGGCCAAAATATGACAGTCTCAGTTTAGTCATTTTGGCTTCTGGGGAGAGTTCAGGCTTGATTTCCTCTTGGACCAATTAATTTGTCTTTTTAGAAGTCCAGGGTATCCGCAGAACTCTTATCTAGAACCACATTTCAGATTAGTTGATTCTCTTCTTATCTGCTTTCTCCCCTGTCCAGCTTTCACAACCATACAATAGAAATGGGAAATACAGTGGCTTGGACCATCCTAACTTCAGTATTCAATGATATATCTTTACACTTGAGGATCTTGTCTAGTTTCTTTATAGCTGCCCTTCCAAGTCCAAGTCTCCTTCCTTGGCTGCAGTTTCCTTTCTGATCAATGTTTGATCCTAAGTACGGCAACTCTTTAACTATTCCAATGTCTTTATCATCTACTTCAACATCATATGTAAATCATCCATGGTCATTATTTTTGTTTTCTTCATGTTCACCAAACAAGGAGCAAGGTTGCATTGACCACATTCCTGAGTCTGTCAATGAAGCCACAGTCCTGAGTCTGCAAGACCTGAGCAGGGCTGTGGATGATCGGGTGATTTGGAGGTCTCTCATTCATAGGGTCGCCATAAGTCAAAGTTGACTTGGTGGCACTTAACAAACTACCATGGGTTACATGTTTTCATGTCCTGTCTCTCTTCTGAAAGAGTCAACCTTTAGGCAGGGGTTGGGTGATTGGAGAAGGGCCATGGGATGAACTGGAGACTTGTGGCTTCTATATCAGGGGTGCATTCAATCTGCTCTGGGTTTCATTCCAGACTTTGCAATTTAGATGCCCAGCTTCTTTGGGCAATTGGCCCTGTTCTACATACTAGCAGTCCTATTGCCTATAAAGTAGCAGTCCTACCTTATTTTGGGTTTTAGTATGCCAGATGTGAGAGTCAGCATGGTGTAGTGGTTTGAGTGTTGGACTATGACTCTGGAGACCAGGGTTCGATTCCCCGCTCCAGCATAAAAACCCAGTAGTTGACCTTGGGCAAGTCACACTCTCTCAGCCTCAGAGAATGATAATGGCAAGCCCCCTCTGAAGAAACGTGCCAAGAAAACCCTACGATAGGTTTGCCTTTGGGTCACCATAAGTCGAACATGACTTGGAGGCACACAACAACATGCCAGACGTCTGTGTTTTGTGTGCATAGATACAGAGGGTTATGTGAATTCATTCTGATGCTCACAATCCTGTTTGAAATTGATGGCAGCCATTAAAAAAAGAAACTTTCAGCAAGAGAGGTGTCCTGCCTGAGGCAAGAACTGAGGGCTGGCACAGCTTCTTGATGATACGAGGAGAGGAGTTCATCAGTCCAATGCTGGGTTTTCTGGAATGCTTGTCATGAAGAGAAATTGCAGAGCTGAGTTCATCATAGGCAAAGAATCCTCTGTGCAAATGCTAAGAATACTCTCCATACCCTGACCTACATTCTCACCCAAAGTGCTTCCACACTGGGTCTTTAGCCACAGTCTGGGTTCTTGTTTTCACTCCATTTTTATGGGACACCTAGTGCTCTTGTCTTTAAACTGTCACCCCCTCATGATTTTCAGCATCTCCTTCCAAGGATGTATCTGCATTGCAGAATTAAATCAGTCTGACACTCCTTTAACTGCCATGGCTCCATCCTGTGGCATCCCGGGATTTGTAGTTTGGTGGGGTATATTTGGCCTGGCCCATTAGAGAGTGCTAGTGCCTCGCCAAACTATGCGTCCTAGGAGTCCAGAGGACAGAGTCATGGCAGTTAAAGTGGGGTCAAACTGCTTTAATTCTGCAGTGTGGCTACACCCCAAATCTTAGATATTTAGCAAGAATGGAAAGGTAGAACAAATCTTTGCAGGGGTGGATCACTTATGTACTGAAGAGGTCTTTTTCACCTGCAATAATCCCAAGAAAAATTAAAAAGTGAATCAAGGGTCCAGCTTGATTGGAAGAAATGCATTTCTGTCTCATATTCAGAGAGCCAGGCTTTTATATAATAACAGAGGGCTGATAGGGTTTCTAATACGTTTGTGAAGTTTCTGCATGTTCTGATATATATATATATATATATATATATATTACCAAGCTATACATACCAGACCAATGTTTTTGTTATCTGTCAGGCCACTTGTCAGACAAGCCATTTATTGTTTTCTTCTGAGTGAGCAACTTATTATATGAAGAAACTCCTGTACTCCTGTCTGAGTGAAGAAAAAGAGTTGTTGGATGCAAACTTTGCTTGCTAGCTTAGCAGTTTTTGATAGAGTTCCCTATTAGCTATGACAAATATTATGTTAAAGCTTTGACACAGAAATATTTGTCATGGCTAATAGGGAATTCTATCAAGTTAAAGCCAATAGCACTGTAAGAGATCTAGTGTTTAGGTTGAGCATTGGATTTCGACTCTGGAAATCAGGGTTTGATTCCCTGCTCAGCCATGGAAACCCACTAGGGTGAATCACACTCTCTCAGCCTCAGCAGAAGGTAATGCCAAATCTCCTCTGAACAAATCTTGCCAAGAAAACCATGTGGTAGGGTTGCCTTAGGGTTGCCACAAGTCGGAAACAACAATAACATCATAGCACCTTAAGCAAAAGTCAAAGAAAAAAAGCCATGTTAGATTCCTTCCCCTTCAGTGCTACTCATCCTTCCAAAAAAGAGGTGTGTTTCCAGCAAGTCAGGCAGGTGAGCCTCTTGTCACATGTGTAAAGCATAGCACACTTTTATCATTACCATTTCTCTCTCTGCTATTTCATTGTATGAGTAGTAGAGAGGTAAAGAAAGACTGAAAGAAATACTCATCCCTGACAAATTTTGGCATTTTGATGCTCTGAGAAGCCTCACCAAGGAATGTCTCACCCTTTCCAACTTCCTGCTGTAGGTGCGAGAAAGAAAATATGAAAGAAAATTGCTGCTCGGCCATGGAAACCCACTGGGTGACCTTGGGCAAGTCACACTCTCTCAGCCTCAAAGGAAGGCAAGGGCAAAGGCTTGGCCCCATCCCTGCTCCAGTGGCAGATAAAAACATTCTTGTGCCATCAGGCTTTTTCAAATTGACAAGGGTTGGGCTTTAAAGCAGATTTTAAGGTCTGTATAGAGGTTTTTTTTGTTTTTTTTTTAACACACCTTACATTTTAATGCATAGCTGTTTTAACTTTTAAAATTGTGGATTTAAATTTTGGATGTATACATTTGAGTGCTTTTGCATTGTTTTAAAATTGTATTATGTTGGGTTTGCTGTTTGCCGCCTTGGGTCCCTACGTCGGGAGAAAGGAGAGATATAAGTAAATCAAATAATAATAATAATAATAATAATAATAATAATAATAATAATAATAATAAATATTAAACTCTCTCTGAACAAATTCTGCCTATAAAACCCTGTGATAGGTTAGCTTTAGGGTTGCCATAAGTCAGAAATGACTTGATGGTACCCAACAACAACAACAACCCACTGCATAGGGCTGCAACACATTTCTTCCTATGAGTATCCACACTCACTTTGCCTTTGTCATGCAAAATGAAATGGCTTGACCAAGGTTGGCCTACAAAGATAAAGTACTATGTGCAAAAGCCAGACTGCCCAAGGGCTGACCAGATTCACTGTATGAGCCAAAGATCAAGCAAAAGTGTGTCATTCTTCTTAGCAATGTCCACTTGTACTTTGGTACTCTGGGACAGGAAGGTAGGAACCATACCTGGCACGGAACAGCCCTTCCTGCTTACTCACCAGAAAAATAACTACTTATACTGCCAAAAAAGGTGACTCGGTTTGCAATTTTCTTCCACAAAATGGGAAATCCTGAAAAGTCACTTTCCCTAACCTGGCATTCGCCACTTGTTTCAGAACACAGTTTCCATCATCTCCAAACCACATTAACTGAGGATTCAGGAGGATGAGTGGACAAAAAAAGTTGGGGAATGCTCCTCTATAGGATATTTTTTTTTTTTTGCGGGAAGCAAACATGCCATTGATCGCTACATCCAGAAGTACTCGAAACCAGTGCTCCAAAAATAAAGGAACCCCCCCCCCAAGTTTCCATTTCTTGTAATTTGAATCCATTGGTTTGTGTTCTAGTCTCTGGAGCTGCAGAAAATAAGTTTGCTCCATCTTCTCCATGACATTCCTTCAGATATTTAAAGAAGGCTATCATGTTACGGTATTTCAAAGCTATAGCCATGTTAGTCTGTAGAATCAGTCTGTAGAGAGATCTTGTCACACCTTTGAGACTCACTGAAAGAAAGAAGGTGGCAGCAGGAGCTTTCCTAGACTTAGGTCTACTTCCTCAGATAGAGGAAACCCTGCCTTAGGATTGCCTTAGGGTCGCCATAAGTTCGAAATGTCTTGAAGATACATAACAAGAACAATAAAATATTGGAGACTGCTGGAAATCTTAGTAGGAAACAACCATGGATTCATTTACCCTAGAATAAGGCATTGTTCTAGGAAGTAATTTCAGAAGAAGTAACAATCTGGTCACTTTCAATTTTAACAAAATGGTGGGCACAATCTACCAAGATTTCTAGACTCTTAGCAGCTGCTTGGCCTTCTTCTCATGGGGTGTTTCACCCACTGAGATGAATGGAAACATCTCAGATATATCCTTGAAATTGGTGGTGATGGGTTTTTTTCCCCCCAGATTAGTAGAAACTAGCCAAGAAAATTCTATTATAGGTTTGCCTTAGGGTTGTCATAAGTTAGAGAATGACTTGAAGGCACACAACAACAAAGAGATGGTGAATCCACTCCATGTTTTAGCCCAGGTTTGACAGGAGCTATCCTTCCGAAGTGCTGAATCGATTTTGCAGGATGGGATTTGACTTCTTGGATTGCATCTTTAAAATTCAGACTGAAACCCGGTTCGAGCCACTGCCCCACTGAGGTGGAGGCCAGCCCCTGCCGCTGGCTGCGGAGAGTTTCACCATTCACCCCAGAGAAAGCAGTTCAGCCTAGCATGAACACTGCATGACCAACTTTGCATTATGAAAGCAGGGGAAAGGCGATCATTTTTTAAAAGCCTCCTTTGGGTTGCCTGCTTCTGGTTTTGCACTAATGCAATTTCACTCTGTAGCAACAGATACCGCTGTGTAAGAAGTCCCATCTGAAATATGTGCCCTCTTCTTCCCCTCTGGCAAATTTTAGAAGAGGATGGAGTGGGTAAGCCTTCTCTGAATCAGCCCATGAGTAAAACCTCTCCTTCCTTGTCTTTCTCCCTCCACCTTCTCATCACTTCATCACCACTTTGTCATGCGCTCCAGAGACAGTTTCTCAGGGCAAAGGGGAACAGCAACCAAAGGCACATGGAACAACCAAGTCATGTGAATAGGATCCATCTGTGTCAATAGATCGGGGACAGACCTTGTTTTTTTAATACCATTCTCTAATCAATCATTCTCTTAGGACCTTATCACACGGGGTCTAAAGCAGTGCCATCCCTGTCCCATCCCCGTCCTATCGCGCTTCCTTTTACAGATTCCCCTTTTGCGGGAAATGCAATTCCCAGTCCGAACCGAAATTAAAAAGAACGGGGATAATTCCGGATGATGCACATGGATCCGCATTGGGACGGGGATGGCACGGGGATGGGCGCGACGTCGTGTGATCATCTGGGGGGAAGAAGCACAATAGGACCGGAAAGCGACGGGGATGGGCGGGCTTACCTTGCGACGTCGTGTGATCAGCTGGGGGGAGGAAGCGCAATAGGACCGGAAAGCGATGGGGATGGGCGGGGTTAACTTGCAACGTCGTGTGATCAGCGGTGGCAGGAAGCACGATAGGACCGGGAAGCGACGGGGATGGCACCGCTTCAGACCCCCGTGTGATAAGGTCCTTAGTTTTGTCCCGGTTCTAATTGTTTTTTTAAAATTGTGTCTAGCATCCTGTGAATCTGTTGTGTCTAGCATCCTGTGAATTTTTAAAATTGTGTCTCTCATCCTGTGAATTTCTGAATTGTGTCTACCATCCTGTGAATTTTTTAAATTGT